ATAACCAACCAACAAATTGCCTCAGCCTTCTTATGAAATGTTGTTCACCCACCCTGATCAAAACAGAGTAGGCTCTTGCAATATCCTATGTGATGCAATCCCTGGGGCAAAAGAATAATCTTGTTACAGGGCTTATTGTGCCCATTACTGCTAGGCAAACAGGCAATAGGGCTTGGCAGTGTGAAAGAAAATAATATCTGAAATGGTGGGAAGGGGCTAAATGGTTCAGTCACATTTGTCCTCTCCACATCCATATGTCTGCCAGGGAGCATTTCAGCCTCTGGTATAAGTTAAAGCTGTGTTAGGACTGCTGTAATCTCCTGTGGTTTGTCATAGCTGCTCAGTGGCCATTATACTGGTCAAGGATTGCCAGAACCTGGCATGCTCAGACTGTCACCCTCCCACTGCTGGCATAGCCCCCAAACAGTCTTCATTGTGGACTGGCTGCCGTAGAGCCAGTATAGTGGAATCTATGCCAGCAAGAGATTCTTTTTTTTTTTTTAAGTAAGGGAATCATATTCTCTTAGAGTATCACATCAATAAAAGTTATGAGACAAAATGCAATGAAATCGCAGAACTTCTATAAGGCCAGCACTACCAGCCTAAGCTAACACATGGACTTGCTGCCATTCTGTTCATATTTCATTCCCTTTTCCATGGCATTTCCATGTATCATCTGCTAGGTTTCTTCTTAAGACCAGATCCTAGAAACTTACACATACAATAAGTTATCCCTTTAACTTCAGTTGGACTACTTCTGTGAGTACAGATGGCTCATTCAAACAAATAAGGGCCTGTAAGGTAGGGTTTTAGGCCTTGATCCTGAACATCTTTATATGCATATTTCACTTTAGGGACATGAGTAATCTTTGCATGACCTCACTGGGACCACTTACATTCAGAAAGTAAAGCAAGTTCTTACATCTTTGCAAGATCTTTGGGACAGGGTTTTGGTTTGTTTTTTTTTAATAAGTACAGTGCATATTTATGGGAATAAATACAAACTTTTCAGCAAGAAAGCTATAGCCAGCTGCTGACTCAAAAATGCAAAATATATTTAAAACTTGATTTTCAAATATAATCTGAAGTTTATAGAAGGAAAAAAGATGCTTCACACCACTTATATTTTATGGTTATAAGGCAGAGTGAAATGGATTCAGAAGTCTTTTAAATTTATATTGTTAGTGAATTTCTTTTTTCCCCATAGAAAATTATTACAACTATTATTAATTTCTTGGCAACAGTATTTTTCTTTGAGAAGGAATTAATATAGTAGTTTGCATGATTAGCAGCTTGATGGCATAGCACTGAATAAATTCACTGTTGTCTTATTAAAGGAGTATATTAAGAAAAATAAAAAGTTAATTTATTCTGTCCTGTGTACATTTTTTCCTAGTCATCAGACAGAAGTTTAATTCTAAAAAAGCCAAATGTCCAAAATATTTTAAATGCCATTATTTTTCTTTCACATTCAGCAATTTAGTTAAGTTTTTGTTTAGATTTTTTTTGCTAGAAATTAAGCTATAGAGTGGACCTGCACTACATGAACCCAATTTGCGTGTAGACAGGAGTAACAGAACATGACTCTGTTTCTTGTGTTTGTTATTAACATATATATATTCATGCACACAACATCCAGAAAGACTGTTTTTGAGAAAGAAAGGGGAAAGTAGAATCAAGGCCCAGTGGATATCATATGATTTGACAGTAGCTTTTTTGTTTTGGTCCTCATTATCAGGTGAGATAGAACTAAATGGCAGCTCCTTGATAATCCTGAATACACAAGGTTCAGATTTTCTCTTACGTTGGTGCCTGCTTGGCACAAAAGCAAGAGAAGAGGATGGCTGCTCTTTGTGCTGGTTCTGGCCTTAATGTGCCCTAAGCTATGTGGGCTGGTAATGATTCCCAAAGGATCATGTGTTTGCTACAGTATTATGCTACACCTGTTTTCACATAGGAGTATGGCACAGGCTAACTCTGCCAGTTCTGCACCAAAGGGTAGGGATATGCACACCTGGCAAGATGCAGCTACTTTACAAGACTTTTGTACTACCAGAATTGCATAAAAGGGAAAAGTGAATCTGACCTGTAAATTCTAATTACTGATGTAGACTTGTTACAAGAAACGTACTGCATCAGCATACTTGTCTAACCCCACCTCATACAATATGGAGTGCAGCCTACTTACTGGAATATTGATATCAAATACAATATTTCCATGGAAATGTTTTCTACCAGCATACGTATCATAATATTACTTAAATTTTCTTGCAGCTATATGAAGCTAATGCGATATGGCATCTCTGGATTCCAGTGCTTACATATTTGATAAATATGGTTAGGGAAAAAAAAAGCGTTTTTTAATTTTGAAATATTTTATGTACCTCATTGGGGGAATAAGTAACAAACCAAATATAAACTACCTTATTTCTAAAATGTAGCTTTAAAATGTGTTTTAGTGTTTTAATGGGCTTGAGAGTTGTACATGTAACTGCTTTTAGAGAATACTGAACCCAAGTTGCTTGGAGCTCAAATCACAGTTACAGTAATGTCTCTCTTACACTGTGTTGATAGTCATTTTAAGATATTATATTACATAAGAAGTGTGTACATACACAAGTCTTCCAAATCATGAAGTTGTAACTGTGAATCTGAAATAAATTAATATTGTTGAAATTAATGAACTGAGAAATTGAAGTTCACATCGCTACAAGAACAAATTTATTAATATCTGTTGTACATAAATTAATGAGAAATATCATCATGACAAAAATTAAACAACACTAAGGTGAAGACAGTTTAAATTATATTCTTACCAAGGAGTTAACTAGAAAGAGGTGATAGATTTTGGCATCTCAGTGCTTAAGTGTTAAAAAATGAGCCAGCTAGTCGAGGATATTAATCTCATGCCTTTTTATAGCACTTGATCTAAAGATTCCAAAGCAGGTGTACTGCACTTGGCTTTGATCTCAGAGAGTCCTTGACTTAGCCTACTATTATGATAAAGTACAATTAACAGAATGTCGAAATTGAGGTTTTCCACTTAGGTCCAAGTGCTAGGAGAAAGAAACTAAGGTTAGTCAGATTTTCATTTAGGGAACTTGAGAAGTGTCTGGTCCTTGACTGGTGAGTGAGCTGGCCTTGTCTGACATTACCAGAAGTGACCATGTTGTTTCTCAGCTGTCAGCATAGCCAGTCTCCAGGGATGCTGGTCTACTGTTTGCTATTAACAAAACGCTAAGAGAAATATCACACATGTGGGAGTCAGGATGCTTTGCACAAAAAAATGTCAGAATCTTCCTTTTTTAAAAAGTGAAGTCTTTGTGGAACATCTTGTTAGAAAAGCACTTTTCTGGTATTCTTTTACTTGCAAGTTGATAGGGAGGGAAATCCTACCGGTAAAATTATAGCGCTCTTAGGATTCAGCCAAAGTTGTAATTTTTACAATCTGGAACTGCTCATATTGGCTTTAATTTAACAGTGCATCCCAGTGCAGGCAAATACTTAACACGCATGATTGTTTACTAAGGTGCTTTTTTGGCTAAAAATGGACTTAAACGCTGTCTGAAATGCACCAGTTGTGAACCAGATATGCATGATTCTTCATACATTTATAATAACCTTCATTTTTCCCTTTCTCTTTCAGCTATGTCTGGGCTTGTAGTCCCACCAATGTAAAGTCACTTTTGTTTACCTACCGTAGCACCAAGCTTCAGAGGATGGGCTTAGGGGACAAGTTTAGTATATTAAGACATGCTGATGGAAACAGTATCTCCAAAACAAAATCAGCAACAAATTGAAATGCTACAAAAAGACTTTGTTTAAAGATTTTATTTAAACTATTAAGAACCTACATGCAAACAACCTACTTCTTCATGAACAATTCCATTTTATTGACTGAACTTTTCTCATATTTTCACATTTCTCAGTCCTGAAGAAAAAGGAAAAAGCGACGCCTATTTTGTATAAAGTTTCTGATTACGTCTTGGCTATGTCTAGTACTTGCTATGTGTTGGGAGAAACTTTGTGGATGCACCATTTTGATTATCATGAAACACTGATGAAAAATGCCTCCGAACATTTTTCTG